TAGTCCACCAGCCTCCAAAATATTGGACTTTATCTTTGAGTTTAACACAAGTGATCAAATACTTGCTTGCTATAAGATAATCCTTATCAGTTTCCATTTTTTGTTTAGATTATTTGCACCCTGTCGTCATCATCAAAAACTGACAGCAAACCTCTTCTCCAGCCTCTCCCTTACCCGCCTCTCCCTGTACTGTCCCCTACTGTGTCTTCATTACCCAGCTGAATTTCCCAGCTGTCTGATGTCTTTCTCCTTCCTTTCTAATGGCAGATACCAGTCCAAGCAATCCTGGGCATTGTGCCATGCAAATGGAAGTGCAGCATGAAACAGTCACATCCATTACTTTTGAGCTTGGTAGAAGAGGTATAACACCTGCAAAGGGCCTGTAAGTTAGAAGAGGGTAAGGAGGGGTGAAGAAGTTTGCACAGAAAAGCGTGTGGTGAAGATTCTTTTATCTTTTTTGTGTTTCTTTCCTTTCCATTGGCATTGTGTAAAAGTCCTGCTAAGGGGAGCATTTTGTTCTTAACCTGCAGCATTGAAATGAAGCACGTATCCCAGTGTGCACTACTTGAGTGTGACCCTTAACTTTGACAAAACTCCATTGCAGATTTTAAATGTGCATATACATTAAAGCAATGAAGGGAGCCTTGGTTTTCTTTGAATAGGAAATTCTTAAGCATTATACATATTTGCCTTCTATCAATTCATATTTCTCTTGACTTAAAGTTAAAAGTTAGAATATTTATACTTCATTTCATAAATTATTTATAGCTTGCCTTGCAGATAGTATTCACATATTTGCTTACAATTCCCTATATTCATCAGCAAATTTATGGTAATATCACAAAATAATTGTAAGGGTTATTTTTGTAGTTTGCTTTTTATAACTGTTTTAAATCATGTTATTTTAGTTGAGCTGCTTTGGGAATTTTTTCAGAGACCCTTTCAATTGTATTGATGTTCAAGAGTTCTCTTGCTACCATTATAAATTGTTATAGAGTAGGTTACATCATTAAACCTGGCGAGTGTATCCTCCACCCTTCATTTCAGATAGCTACAAGATTTAAGTGCATGAAATAAAGGCATGTGCAAGTCATCTCAGGAATTTGAACTCTTTAGACAGAGGGGCTTTAACAGATATTGTGGGCATGTGTGCACACACTTGAAAAAAGAGAGAACAAGGGAAAACACACAGAAGTGGACAGAGCATAAAGTCAAATGCAGTTTGCATAAGCATGGCACGTGACTGTAAGGAAAGCCCAGGGAAAGGGTAGTTTGGTCAGTATTCTGGGTGAAAGACTACTTCAGGTAGTGAACAAAGACATTTCTTCTTGTTTTGGGTTCTTCCCATCTTCAGGGAAACAGAACTTTATACTGTCCTTAAATAGGACTGCATCGAAGAGATAGCTAACTCCATCATCACTTTAGGAAAAAATAGCAAGGCCATGATTTTTTTTTACAATTTACTCATGCCAGCAAGGGTATAATAGTTTTTCTTCTTCCTTGTAATTCACGAAGTAACTTTTAAATAAGGAATGTTTTAATCATAAGTTTAAGAAAATCAGGAGCTTAAAGTTAGACTCCTGGCCCCAGGTTCACCTAAAGGTCAAATTTTCAAAGTCATCTTGTCATCTGCTACCTACTCAGGGGTCTGACTTTATGCTTTTATTTTTAAAATATTAGCCAGCATAAATATCTGGGTTAGTAGGCAAAGAATACAAATGATTTCAGTTTACTCCATTTGTGATTTTCTGTTCTATTTTATCACCAGTTAACACTGTGTCTGACTCCATTAAATTATTATTTTAAAAATTGTTTGATCATGAAAGAAATGACCACTAGAGGATATAACCTATTTCATTAATGGTGTGTCATGAGGTGGCATGACAGTCATCAGTTACAGGCAAGCAAAGACAATACCTAATAATTTCTTTAATACTCTTTAAGGTATCATGCAGAAGCATGGAATGGTTTCATGAATAATTATTGAAGTACAGATTTAAAACATCTAATTACAGAATGTTTCTCTCTCTAAAAAATCATAAACATTTTTTTAAATAACCCTCAGTGTAGGCATTTAACTGAGGGCTCAGTTCAAGTGCAGACTTCTGTCATGTGCAAGAGTCTGATAAATTTAGCCCTTTACTATTTCTGTTGCAGTTGACTTGAGTCATCTGGGCCAGGGACAGAAGTTACACATAAACTGGCTGAAGTGATCAGAAACCAGTTTAAATGTGTAACAGAACTGAAGTTCAGTGCACATAAACCTGTTTTCAAAATGGCCAAAACTGATTTAAGATAAACCTGGATCAAACTTAACTGATTTAGGTCATACCAGTTTATGGAACTTCTGTCCCAGACCCCCTCCCGATTTCAAGTCAACTCACAGCCCCCCAGCATCCCAAGATGTTTTGCCTGCTTCAGCTGTCCAGCTTCCCAGCTGTCACAGAGCTGAGGCAGTAAAGCCTCTGCTCCCCAGCCTGCTTCTTACCAGCCCAGCAGGACTTGGCGGGGGGGGGGGGAGTAGAGGAACAGACCCCACCCAGGGCTCCCCTAGCCCCAGTCAGTAAAGCAAGGGGAGGAAAGGCCCTGGGCTGAGATTCCCCCCAGCCCTACACCCTCCTTAGGTGGAGGCTGGGGAGGGGCAAGCCTGGGAGAATCTCAACCTGGCTCCCAGCTGGGGGGCCAGGACGGAGTGAAAAGCTTTCCAGTGAGGACTTCCTCCCCCATGTTGGGCAGACCCTGGTTAGGGGTTTGGTGCTGGTTCATTTTGTTATTGGTTCAGTTTATGTAACTTAGAAAAACCTGTGAAGATTGAATCAATTGTGCCTTGGGCTTTTTGAACCTCTATACTTAGTCCTGGAGAAGAACTAAGAACCCACTTTTGGATATCAGGGACTTTGTTCGAGCATGTTTAATGGTTCCTGTCCCAGGGGGATGCAAGCAGTGGGCCCGAAACCCCTTTCTGTGGCGGGACCTGAGGCAGGGCTGACTTGCCTTGGGAAGAAAGAGAAAAGCCCTGATAAGACAGGGCAAATTTAGGTTTTTCAGAAGAAGCGGAGCTGGACGAGTCGCGCCGGAATGGACTGCCCGCGCGGTTCGTCAGCCGCTTTTATTTCTGGCTGGGGATGGCATGGACGGATGATGTTATCAAAAAACACTGCCTGGATGATTTAAAAGCCAGTGGCGGGGAAATGGCTGGGAGAGCACCACCAGAGCCAGACTGCTCCCTGAGCCACACACAGCCTGCATCAGCAGCCCAGAGGGAAACATGACCAGAACCTGACAGAGGGGTCCAGGATCAGCTGAAGGAGGCACCACACTAGACCAGCAGGGCAACCAGGCCAGGGAGGGCGGTATTGAGGGATCTTGGAGCTACAGATGCTGAACCTGTGAGAGTGGGGTGGGCTGAGGCCCTGTACCCCAACCATTCCTTTTGTATTTTAATTTTGTTTTGAGTTATCCCGAGTCAGGGAGAGGGCTCACAAGCAACCTCCACAAATCAGGAGGAGCCAGGACAGTGCATTGTACAGCTATGCAGTAAGGGAAGACCCGATGCTTTGTCAGGGATGGTCTGACATCCTGTGGACGAGGCCGGGAGACAAGCAAGGGGAAGAGAGGACAGGAGGAGACATCAGAGGGCAAGCTGGTGATCCATCATCTGGCTGTCCTAAGGTCTGGTGCATGGCTGGGGTGCAAGGGAGGTGGAGCCCCAAAAATGCCCACTAAAGTAGTACCTGGTCCGCAAGGACCTACGAAAAGGAGCCCCACCACTGAAGGGAAAGATCAAGTCATAGCAGGCGAGTATTGGGGCCTTCTTTGGGGTGAAAGTGTGCCAACGTCAAGGCCACAGGAACACACCCTGTGGCTGGCATTGGGTGCACGCTCCAAAGCGGCAAGAGAGTGCCTACATGAGGCCAGGCAGGTGCAGTTCCCATTTAAGCTATTCTCTATGGTAGTCAGATGGGCAGGGGGGAGGCGAGGAACTCCAGTTTAGGAAAGGAACGGTATAAAATACCATCTTTGCCATTTACAATGATACATTCTATGTGATATTACTTAAAGTTCTGTAGTTCATAATGGATGTTAGATGAACCAGTTTTCCAAAGCCAGCTTTTAAATTCAGAAGAACCTGAAAGCATTTGTTTGTTATTCTGTAGTTTATACGTTTAAAAGTATTTCTTTTAGTAAGGCATTTGTATTCTGATCTGCATTCCATTTTTCCCAGGGATTAGATTTTTGGTTTGGGTTAAGTTCATTGTAGTGTTTGGAAAGGGCTCTGAAATTCAAATTCGGTAATGACCTCTCTTCTCAAGTTTATGCAGTTGTATATTCAGAGTGTGGATTTGTTCTGTATTTCCTCAGCAGAGCACACAAATGAAGGATATCTTGATTAAAGTTGGGCGTGTCTACACGTTGCCCTATGGCAATGTAGTGACGTGCTGTGTTGTTATACAGCAAGCTACAGTGACATAGTGATCATGTGGGTCTACACATGATCACCAGCTATGTCGCTGTAGTGGCGCGCTCCCCCAGTATAGTGCACCACTATGGTGACGTAGCGGTGAAATCTAACCATGTGCTATACACATGGCATAGTAACCACCCATAACTCCATGCTTTAGTACTAAAGGAAGTACTAAAGCATGGCGACGTGTAGACATGCCTGCTATGTCACCAGAGTTTTAGGCCAAAATGCTCAAATGGTGAGCGCACAAAAATTCCTTAAATAAAGTGAACTGTTGTTTGATATGGCACTTAAAAAAATTAAACAACTTGTGTCAGTACTATTATAAGTGATACATCATGGTTTTTGTATTGTAATGCTCCATATATATATCCATCACTTCATTCTTTTAATAATTTGAAATAATAGAACGTATATATCAGTCAGTATGAAGTTACAGGTTAGTTCAAAATACTAAACATACCTCTGGCTGTTACTGTACTGTTCTTTGTAGTGTTTTCTATAAGGCATAAATATTTTTTATTTATTCAAACAGATCTCTTGTGATGGCTTCAGATATATTGCCAGTGGTTGCAATAAAATCCAGCACTTGATAATCAATGATATGCCAACTCTTACAGACAGATGTATTCAAGTAAGAAATTGAAAACAAATTTATATTCAGAGGAAACTCTTGGCTTTCGATTTGGGTGCAGTTGTTCTATTGGATCTCTACTCTCAGGACTCTGCTATACTTCTTGCCTCTATGTCACTGATTTCTGTTTGTTCAAGTGCTGATAAAAATATATATGATTTGAAATGAACTATCTCTACCATTGTTCACAATTTAAAAGTTTAGCTTTTTTATTAAAAAAAAAGTACTACCGTAGTTACTTTAATCCAACGCAAGGATTTTTTCCCCATTTATGACTATGAGGCAGCATAAGGGTAGGCAACTCTTGTGGTTCTGGGTCTGGCCACAGCCCCGTCCCAGGGATGGGGCCAGAACTGTAGCTGCTGTGTGCACCCCTGCTGCCTCTGGCCAGGCCCCACAGATGGTACCAGGCTGGGCAGAGGTTGTGCTGTATGGCCCAGGTTGTGCTGAGGGTAGAACCTCCTGGAGCAGAACAAGGGTAAGCACAGGGAGGCAGAGGCTGTGGATGAGTGGGTGGGGGAGACAGGAGAAGGGGGTCATGGGGCCCAAAGCTGTGAAGAGAGGATGAAGTGGGGGAGCCATGGCTGCAGGGGGAAAAAGTGGGGTGACAGAGGTGGTGGGGAGGTGGGCATGTGGGGTCAAGTGTGAGGAGAGACAGGCAACATGGGGAAAGGTGTGGGGGGAAAGGAGAAGGGGCCAACCTGCTTGATCCACCCACCATCTACCCCCCACGTCTTCTTCCACTACCTCGCCCATCACACGCTCCCCTAGCTGCCTTCCCCACTGCCTGCCCATGCCTCCCCGCCCCCTCCATGTGCCCCCTGCCACTACTTTCTCTGCTGCAGCAGTGGGGGGGATGAATGTGTAAATTTTCCATGTATAGAATCTATTCAGTGTGGGGGAGTCATCTTAAATGAAGAGTCATCTTGGATTAAGGTAAATACAGTCCATCTTTTAAGGAAGAAATATGTTGTTAATTATAATATTATACAGATTATCATATCAGTTAACTTTTTGTTTTGTGACATCCCCTAAATGCAAATCTTTTGTTTATTTCTTTTTCTTTAAAGGCTTTGGTTGAAAAATGTCAACAGATTATATCTGTTGTCTTTCTTGACTCCCCTCATCTCTCTGACACAGCTTTTAAAGCCCTTGCTGAGTGTAAACTTGTCAAGGTCCGAATTGAAGGTCAGTAACAGTATAGTATTTCATAAAATTATTCACTTTGTGCTTTTAGAGTCTGACCTGGCTCATTTTAAATTAATCAGTTGATTTCAGAGTTTGGTTGGACCAGGCCTGTATTCATGGCTAATATGCAACTTGTACTATTGTATATATTGACAGGGAATAATCGGATTACTGATTTGAGCTTCAAACTGATGAGCAAATCCTGCCCGTACATCAAGCACATTTATATGGCTGATTGCCAGAAGATTACCGATGTTGGTCTTAAGATAATTTCATCTTTGAAGTATATTCTTGTATTGAATTTAGCTGACTGTATAAGGTAGTAATTTACATCCATTTTTAACTACTTATTTTAATAAAATTCTGTCTATTCCTAACAAGGAAACAGATCAGTTACGAGCTTTTAAAGTTATATGTCTTTACAGTGATAATAAATACGGCTACCTATACATATGGTGATTCGTGTTCTAATTAAAATGCTCCAGTGTGACCTCACCATCATGTGTATAAGCCCCCACACGTTTAAAAATGGTTGTGGTGGCACTTTATCTAAACCTCATCAAATAAGGTTTAGATAAAGCATCCCATGGCCATTTTTAAATGCATGGAGGCTTAATACACATGATGGTGAAGCGTTTTAATTAGAGCGGCTCTCCAGGAACTGCTCTAATTAAAACATACTCCCCACCTCTAAGCATGTATATAGGCAGCCTATATTATTATTGATTTTTTAAAAAAACGTAAATAGGTTAATTTTGCTTCTTTAGAATATTTCAAACAATAAGCAAGACTCCAGTCCAGTAAAGAATTTAACATGTATGCAACTTTAACCACATAAGTAGTTCACGCAGTGTTTAGAAATGCTTTGCTGGATTGGAGCCTGGCGTTGAATAATATAAGCAAAGCAGAATATCTGTGGGACTGAACCATTGCAGTTTGACTGTCTTTAACTTCTAGAGATAATATATTTGAACTAGGAAGTACTAGGACGTAAAGAAAGCTATCTTGTTTTTTGTAGTTATCAACCCAAATGCAGCAAGTTGCATCACTGCAGAAAAACAGCTGTTATATAGAAATTGTTTTTGAATTTAAATTTTTAATGTTGTAGAAATGAAACAAAATTATGAAGGATTCTAAAGACATCAAATTTCCAGGTTTTGTGCATAAGGGTTAGGCTGGGAAACAAAGGAGGCAAAAAGCCCTATATTTAAAAAGTATAGCTACAATTTATTAAATAATGATACAGTTAGGATTGCCACCTACCTGGAGATTTCTAGGATCATCTTCATTCTAGGGGTATTACATATGCAAATCGTTATATTACTTCTGGGATTCTTGAGCCTACCTCAGAAAATGCTGACATTTCTTGTAAATATTATTCTGCTGTGTTGAGATGCGCGAGTGTGATATCATAACAGCATGGTGGTGCTTCCATTGTGAAGGGGAAATAGCTGCCTTTATGCCTGATTTAACATTTAGAGGGTTGGATTTTCCAGTCTGTCTGCCAAATGGCTGCTTGGGGGGAAGGGGTGTATGTGTTTGGACCTGTGTCTTCCATCTTGGATATTAAAGGATTTCAAAATCCTTAAAGAAGTTTCTCAAGGCATGATAAAATGTATAAAATTCTGTAAGGTCATTTATTATTTTTACATACATTTGCAAGTGGTCCCAGCAATAGCAAAGTTAAGAATCATAACACATTCTTTTTAAGTGATTTTGTCAATAAAGGAAGCTAATATAAAGAGATTAGAAAAACATAATTGACAGTATACATTTATCTGATTTGGTTGGTAGTTCTTAAATTCAAAAATCAGATTGTGCCTTAGATGTATGTAAGTAGCTCCCACTGAAATCAACCGAAGTTTTATACTAGACAGAATCTCCCCAGAAAAGTTCATTTTTTATGTTCTCTTAATGTTGTTCATGCCTTGTAAACCTACTTTTGTCTGTTTCCTTGAAAATAACCGTAGTCCAAGATTGAACAATGCTTAGGGACATGCAGAGAATTTTTAAAGACAAAGGATAAAGCAAATGTAGACTGGTCAATCATGCCGGGGAGGGCATGGCTCAGATCCAACCCACTGCATGGGGCTTGGGATTTTGGCAGTGGGGAGGGGTGGCAATATTAACTACCATCACTCCCTTGCTACTAACCTTCCTGACCATTGAGGAGCCCCACGGGCCAGATTCCAAGGCTCTGTGGACCACATTTGGCCTGTGGGCCAGAAGTCAAGCACCTCTGCTTTAAAAGAGCTTTTACAGAAAGTTTTAGTTCTCCAGAGGCTTACAAGAAGCAATATCTTTCTTTGCCAATCCAACACATTCTTCCTATGCTAGCTAGTGATGAGAAGCAGCTCATCTCTGTTTGTTTAATGTAGGTCACCAGATGCAAATTGTCTATTGGATTATGAAAATGTGCAGAATTGACTGTTTGTTTTTATATTTTAGAATCAGTGATGCTGGTGTAAAACAATTTTTAGAAGGCTCCTCAGGCGCAAAACTAAGAGAGTTGAACTTGACTAATTGCTTCCAAGTCACTGATGTCTCTGTTGTGAAAATAGCCCAAAGGTATCATAGTACAATACAGTGTTTGGCGGTTATAATCAGCAATTAGGATTTTGAAATGGTGTTTCTTGAAAATTAAATTTGGAAAGCTATAGCACTTAATACATGGGTAACTGGCCTGTATTAAGCTAGAGGTTATACAAGATAAGCAATCTCATGGTCCCTTCTAATCTTGTAGATCTATGAAAATTGTCACTCTCTTTGACTAGGATTTTAGAGGAGTGGATTAGGTAGCAAGTTAGGTGTTAAGATCCAGTTGATGTTGAATGGGAACTGGATGCCTAATGTCATAGATTTCATAGACATTAGGGCTGGAAGGGACCTCGGAAGACTGAGTCCAGCCCCCTGCCCAAAGGGCAGGAAGTCAGCTGGGGTCATAGGATCCCAGCAAGATAAGCATCCAGTTTGCTCTTGAAGGTGTTCAATGTAGGCGCTTGAACCACCTCGGGTGGCAGGCTGTTCCAGACCCTGGGTGCTCGGACAGTAAAGAAATTCTTCCTTATGTCCAGCCTGAAATGGTCTTGTAGTAGTTTATGACCATTCAACCTAGTCGAACAGTCTTAGGAAAACCTTGAAAATTCAAAGACATAAAAAACATTTCTGGTTTTTTTAATGTTTTCAATTTAGGTGCCATAATCTGAACTACCTGAATCTGCGATATTGTGAAAATGTGACTGATATTGGCATTGAGGCTTTAGGAAATATGTTGTCATTGATATCCATGGATATTTCTGGAACCAACATCTCAGATATGGTAAAAACATAATGAAAGAATAATTTATATATTTATTATTAATATGTTTATTATCTATCATTAGAGAAAAAATCTTCCACATTTTAAGAAATACTGCACAGTTATTAAGTAATGAAGTATGCTATATTTAAAGTATTTTGTAGAACAGTCTATAATATGAATTCAATAAATTAAAAAAATATAGTTGTAAAATTACAGTAATAGTTATATCGAATAGAAATTGGTCTTTGCAAAGGAGAGTGAGGAATTCAAACTCCTGATTTACAGGTAAGCTGTGTAGCTGCAATATGGCTCCTCCAAAATTCATTATTCCATGCCCTGCCTCTCTGCAGTGATTATACAGGATTTCTAGGCTACTGGATCAATGCATAATTAACATGTGGAAAGTCACTGCCATAGGATGTGAAGGAAGCCAGTGAAACTACATCTCCCATGGTTCACCATAGTCCACCACAGTGATTGATGCACCGTGGCAGTTCGACCAGAGATACCCCGGATTAGTTATTGTGTGTTTTCATTGACTCATGGGGAGGGATGGGACCTCAAAGATCATCTGATCCAACCCCATACCATGTGTTAGCATTGGTATACATGATCTTCAATGTTTTTTCAGTCCTTGCTCATGTGTAATGTTGGCAAGAACTTAAGTATTTGGCTCCAAAGCAGAAAAACCAAGCATTTTTAATTCAGTGAAGTTATTTTAAAATATCATAAAGTCACTGTCTGTATTTTTCAGTGTACTTATTTTGATGGTACTTGTGATTCTTGGAGCTGTAACCCACACTATTTTATAATTCAAGAATTTTCTTTTGATTGTTCCCTCTCTGCTGGCCCCAGCCACCCCTTAAATATTGTATAGTGCTGCTTTTCTGTTTTCATGCAGCAGAACTCTATGCTGTCGGCAATCATCCAGACTGTTTTGCTTACACTACATTTTTCAAACAGAGTTTTCCTTTCTCTGATAGGGTGGAAAAATTAACCCTGAAACTGACCATTTATCATCATGGTAATTTCTAAACCGACTTCCAGTACTGGCCATAAACCTGTCATTATTTTGCCATTTATTGTGTCTAGAGTATGTACCATTCACTTTTATGTAAATATATGTTTAAATCTTCAGTCAGAATATGAAGAAAAGGGTTCTAACAATTTGCTGTTTAATTTTTATGTACTTTGAGTCTATCCACTTTATATTATTGCTTAAGTGTAGCTGCAATAAGATAGATGTTTACACTTTTCAGTTTAAATATTGTGCTAAAATTACTTTTGGACACTGCTGTAGTGGACATCAAGTTTCAAGTCCAGCAAATACAGCACCATTAAATTGTATTACAGAAGAGGAAGGAAGGAATTTTTTTTGTGGATATCTATTGCTTGTTCTGCCAGAGTGAGTTCAGTGGGTTTAAAACATCAAGCCATGCAACAAAATATTGATTTTGCTTTCATAATGAGGAAGATCAGAATTTGCCATATAGGTTTCCCTTGTCAACTGTGGGGGTTGGGTGCTGGAAAGTTCCCGTGGTTGGCAAAACTGCAGTTGGTAAAACTAAAGGCTTATGGGAAAAATGGGGTTAGGGCAAGGATGGGCAAAATACAACCCACGGGCTGGATCTGGCCCACAAGGCCATTCTGTCTGGCCCGCAGGGCCCCTAAAAAATTTTGGAAAATTGAAATTTATCTGTCCTTGGTTCCTGTCAAAAATGACAGGAACCAGGAGCAGTAGGACCCAGGGGAAGCTCTGGTGGACTCCTGCAACAGCAGGTCCTGCCCCGCCCTGCCCCCCCAGCCGGAAGCTGCAGCAGGCGCTTCTGGGCTGAGACCACGTGGCTGCCCCGGCATGGGATGCTCAAGTAAGGGGTGAGGGGAAGGGCAGGGAAGGAGCTGGTGTGGAGCGCAGGGAAATGTGGCCCCTCCCCTGCCCTGTGGTCAGCACTCCCTGCTGCAGCCACTTGAAGCCTACGCGGGGCTGTCCTCAGCAGCCCCATGCGGGCTGTGAGCGGCTGCAGCATGGGGTGCTGGCCACGGAGCAGGGGAGGAGCCACTTTTCCCTCATTCTCAGCACCAGCTTGTAACCTGCCCCCGCTGCCAGCCTGGGCCCTGCACCGGCTCCGGGCTCATCTGTCAGGGTTGTGCCAGAGTGGCAGCAGCTGCACACCCCCTCCCCTGCTGTCCTCAGCAGCCCCATGCGGGCTGTGAGCGGCTGCAGCATGGGGTGCTGGCCACGGAGCAGGGGAGGAGCCACTTTTCCCTCATTCTCAGCACCAGCTTGTAACCTGCCCCCGCTGCCAGCCTGGGCCCTGCACCGGCTCCGGGCTCATCTGTCAGGGTTGTGCCAGAGTGGCAGCAGCTGCACACCCCCTCCCCTCCGCTTGCCGAGCTCCGGGCAGGCAGCAGCAGCAAACACTGACCGGTGCAGCAAATGGGGAGGCCACAGGTGCTGCTGTCGCGGCACAGCCCCAGCGTGCTCCACCTGCCCCCAGCCTGCATGTGGCTGCCTGTGCCTGCTCAGGACAGCCCCGCATGGACTGTGAGCGACTGCAGCAGTGAGCGCTGGCCACGGGGTGGGCGAGGGGCCTCTTTTCCCCAGGCTCTGCACCAGCTCCTTCCCTGCTGGGGAGCAGGGGGTCGGGGCTGTGTGCTGCCCTCCGCCTGTACTGCGGGGCTGGGGGGTGCTGGGAGTGAGTGGGCACAGGAGCACAGGGCCTGCACCGGTGTCCCGGAGCCAGTGCCAGCAGGGTGCAGAGCAGGGCAGCATGAATACAGGGTCCCAGCTGGCAGGGGCTCTATGGAGCCGGACCAGCTCCCCCCTTACCATGCTGGTGCAGCTCAGCCCGGCTCCACAGACCCCTGCCAGCCTGCACCCTGCTCTGGGCCCCACCGGTGCTGGCCCTGGGACATTGGTCCCAAGATGGTGACCAGGGGGCGGGGCACCTGTCAAGGGGCAGGGCTACCCATCCGGCCCTTGACAGCTTGCCAGAACTGGGTAAGTGGCCCTCTGCCCAAAATAATTGTCTGCCTCTGGGTTAGGGACTTGAATACTGTACAATATAGTGTATAAATTAATTTTTACTTACCTTTAATACACGGGGTGGTCAACCAGGCATAGGTGTACCCCTAGGGGTACTCAGACAGGTTACAGGAGGTATGCATCGGTGGGTGGGGATGGAGTGCACCCAGGGCGAGGTGGCAGTGTCTCCTCTGACGCGTTTGCCTCTTACCCAGAGGAGGGAGAGGGGGAAGGGAAGGGGAGAAGAGGGATGCGCCGGCTGGCCCCACACAGCACACTGCAGCACTTCTCTGCCCCCACCCATCTGGATGGCAGGGTGGGGATGTTTTGTGCCTGCCTTTGGCGGTGTATGATTGGCTGGTCAGCAGCCCACAAATGGGGTCCTGGCTGGACCAAGTCCTGGGACAATCTGAGCCTGGCGCAGCGGGAGCCACTTGCCCACACCCCTGGACAAGTTGCCAGGCTCGGATTGTCCCACGACCCAGCCTGGCCAGGGCTCCATTCACCGTGAATGGAGGCCTGCTCACCGCAGGGCACAGTGACAAGCAGGCCTGCTGTTCCCTGCTGCCCTGCTTTCCTCTTTCATGACCCAGCATGGCAGGGAGCAGAGAAGTGCATGGGGATCTCCTTACCCACCGCTGCTTGCCCTGCATTGCCCTGGCGATGCACCTCCTGCATGCAGGGCTGCACTGAGAGCAGCAGCGCAGGGCTGTGCCCCTCAAACCAGCAGCAGGCACAGGAGGCACGTCGCCAGGATGAGCGGCGGCAGACGAGGAGATCCCTACATGCCTTCTCTGCTGCCTGCCATGCCTGGTTGTGGGGGAGAGAAGCAGGGCAACAAGGAACGGCGGCAAGTGGACCTGCTGTTCCCTACCACCTCAGGTAGGGCAGCTCCCTGCCACCGTGTGCACATCTGGCAGGGTTGGGGGCCACCTCCAGCTGGGGGAGCAGGGGCTGTGGGTGGGGGAGGAGAGGCATGAGCAGGGTTGGGGGGTTGGCAGGCTGATGCGCAGCCACGGAAAACCATGGTTACTCAAAACTGTATATCATGGTAGCCAAAATGGTATACAGAATATTAACCATGGATACACAAAACCGTGGTTGGTAAAACTGTGGTTGGTGAGGGAAATCTGTACTAGCAGTGCATCATGCTTACCTGAATTAGGATGCAAAGAAGACACAATAGAGGCTTACACTCTTAGATAATTGAGATATGACTGTGCGGGCCGGGAGCGACCCGAGCCCTTTTCGCGCTGCACGCGGGCTGTGGCCAGCAGCCCGGGCACGCCGGGGCGGAGAGGGAAGGCCTTCGAGCTGGAATTAGGCACGGATGCGTAGCGG